GATGGTCTCGATCTCCTGACCTCGTGATCCGCCCGTCTCGGCCTCCCAAAGTGCTGGGATTACAGGCTTGAGCCACCGCGCCCGGCCAATCACAGTTCATTGTAGCCTCCACCTCAGGCTCTCCAGGCTCAGGTGATCCTCCTGCCTCAGCCTCCTGAGTAGCTGGGACTCTAGGCACATGCCACCACACCCAGCAAATTTTTATGTTTTTGTAGAGACAGGGTTTCACCATGTTGCCCAGGCTAGTTTCAAACTCCTGGGGTCAAGCAATTTGCCCACCTCAGCCTCCCAAAGTGCTGGTATTACAAATGTGACCATCAGGTCCGGCCTTCCTGTTGTTTTTGTTTTTTGTTTTGGAGGAGTCTCGCTTGGTCACCCAGGCAGGAGTGCAGTGGTGCAATCTTGGCTCACTGCAAACTCTGCCTCCCGGGTTCAAGCAATTCTCCTGCCTCAGCCTCCCCAGTAGCTGGGATTACAGGCATGTGCCACCATGCCTGGCTAACTTTTTTGTATTTTTAGTAGAGACGAGGTTTCACCATATAGGTCAGGCTGGTCTTGAACTCCTAACCTTGTGATACACCCGCCTTGACCTCCCAAACTGCCAGGATTACAGGCGTGAGCCACCGTGCCCAGCCACCTGTTTGGTTTTTAAAAGACTTCTGGGCACAGTAACTCATCTAATTCTGGTCAAACTAAGGTTACCAATACGAAGACAAAAGAAGTTTCTATATTCTGTATATGCCAAATTACTATACTCTTACTTAAAACATAATAACATAATTTTGGCTAACAATTTTCCTTATGAGCACCCAGCTCTGTGCTAAACATTTCACATGCCTTAGCTTGTCTTCAAAATGCTCCTGAGGTAAGCGATATTATTATTCCCATTTTTGAAAAGATGACACAGAGGTTTAGTATACGTAGGTAACATCTGCCCAAGGGTACCCAGAGATTCCAACCACTCTGAGCTCGCTCAAGACCAGTTATGATGCCTCTTTATCCAAAGAAAAAGGCATAAAGGAGTAAAATCTTAAGATTTGAAGAGTAAACATGAAGATCCTCTTGTTTACTCTCAGTCAACACAGAACACAAAGAGAAGAATGAGGGGTGGTCGTTCTGCCATCTTCTCCCATCCTGGGTCTGCCTGCTCTCAATCTGAAAGCCAGGTCTGTGCAAGACTGTCTGTGAACGACTGAGCTTAAACAGCACAGGGGTTGAGAAGAGGGATTCCTGGAATGGGCACTCGATGCAGCTTCTAAAAGGTCTGAACTTTCAAGAATGTAGAACATGCTCATCTCTCTGCAGACAGTTCCTTTCCTTGGCTCCCCGCCAACCTTGCTCTCCCCTGGACAGGTCCTATTCATCCTTCAACTTTCAGTTTAAATGTCACCTCTTCATGGAGGTCTTCTCTGACACCCTGCTCTAAATTAAGTCCCCATGTTATGCAATCTCTTAACATTGTCTATTTGTTTAATATATGGATCCCCCACTGCAGGGACCAGGAAACTGAGGCCCAATCAAGGAAAGAGACTTATCCAAGGTCACAGAGCTACAGACCAGCATTTCCAAAACCACTCTGAGTTAGACCCAATTTCAACCACTCCCAGATGGTGACCTCTGGAGAAAAGAAGTCAGGGTCAAGGAGCTACATCTACCAATCCATTCAACAAACATTAATACTTTGGGACCTGGCGTGGTACTCATGCCTGTAATCTCAACAGTTTGGGAGGCCAGGAGTTTGAGACCAGCCTGGGAAACATAGTGAGACCCTGTCTCTTAAAAACAAACAAACAAACAAACAAACAAACAAACAAAAAAATTTAAATTAGCCAGGCATGGTAGTGTGTGCCTGTAGTTCCAGCTACTCCAGGGGCTGAGGTGGGAGGATAGTTTGAGTTTGGGAGGTTAAGGATACAGTGCACTGTGATTGTACCACTGCACTCCAGCCTGGGTGACAGAGCATCACCCTGTCTCCAAAACAAACAAAAAATACTGTAATACTATGACACAAAGTAGGTATTCAAATGAGGGAAAAGTGATAGTGGTAAGCCTATATATTCAAAAGAATCCTTGGTTTCAGGACAGCGGCAATACTTACCTGATGCTTCTTTCCCAGTCACCAGAGTCTCCCCTAACTACAAGGGCAGGGCAAACAAGAAACCTCATCTGTTTCTTTCATTGCTTGGCGCATAAATGTTTTTTAGTGTTACTGCCTTGATGGAGCTGGCTGCCTAAAGTAGGGGAGTGAAATTACGCCCAGGGCTTAGATGCCAGTAAAACGAAGACTTACACAACGTCCACGAGATGGACAGTGGTGACGGCTGCACAGCGTTGTGAATGTATTCAATGCCACTTGATAAATTTTATGCCACGTATTTTCTGCAATTAAAAAAAAAAAAACTTACAAATGACAGCACTGCCCTCTGCAGGCTCTTCTGAGATTAAAGGAGAGGATGACTGGGAAATTATTTTGTACAGACTGGTATTAAATATATTCACCAGGCTCTCCACAGATGTGGGCTCACGAAGTCACTGTCACTATCATCTTTAAAGTCTTGTTGTTTGTTTTGAGATAGTGTCTCACTCTGTCGCCCAGGCTGGAATGCTTCGGGCCGAAGCAATTCTTGTGCCTCAGCCTTCCGAGTAGCTGGGATTACAGGCGTACGTCATCACGCCCGGCTAACTTTTGCATTTTTAGTACAAATGGGGTTTTGCCATATTGGCCCAGGCTGGTCTCCAACTCCTGGCGTCAAGTGATCCGCCGACCTCGGCCCCCTCAAAGTACTGGGCTTACAGGCATGAGCCACCGCGCCGGGGCTAAAGTTAGCTTTCTTTAGTGGCTGCACAGGGATGCTCCTAATCTGACCTATTAGTAATAAATCTTTGATTCCCCCTACTCCCCCGCTTCTCCAACTCTACGGTGGCCCGTGAGTCCATTAACATCTACTCAAACTACATCATTCCTCTGCTCAAAACCTTGCTATGGTTCCCGTTTTATCCAGAGTAAGGCCAAAGTCCTCAGAACAGCCTGCAAGGCTCTGCCTGGAGGTTCTGCAGGGCTGCCCCCCCAACACCTCTGACCTCTTGTCCTGCCATTCTCCCTCCGCTCAATCCCCGCCACCATACAGGCCTAGCCTAGTTCTTTCGCACGCGCCAGTCTCGCTCCCACCCCTGGGCCTCGGCTCTAGCTTTTCCCCATGCTGGGAAACCTCTTCCTCCAGGCAGCCACCGGGCTCACACCCTTGCCTCCTTCTTGGCTTAACTCAAATCTCAATCGGTTTGGCCCAGTGCCCTTCTCGGCTAACACCGCACCCCACCCCCATGCCCCGTCCCTGCTTTCTTTTTCGTAGCATTTGCCTTTTTCTATGACTATTATGTAACTCGTTTATCTTTATCTGTACTCGCCCCCCATCGCAACAGAAAGTCCACTCCAAGAATCTTGCTATCTTGTTCATTGCTGTTTCCCAAGGCCCTAAAACACTGTGTCGTGTACAGTGGACAAGCAACGTCCAGTTTTTGGACTAAATCAATCACTTTTAAAAGCTCAATTTCCCTACTGTTGAGAACTTGGGTGGCTTTCAGTATTTTTCAACAACCACCATTTAGCGCTCACCTCGCGCCGGGCGCACGGAGCGCGCTCAGGACACGGTTCCGAAGTCTCGCCTGCGCCTCTGCGGCCGAGACCCTTCGCGGCGCCGTACGGAGGCACGCAGCGCCCCGGGCCGGAACGAACTAGCGGCCCAAGCCGTGCCGCCCGCCCCGCGCATGCGCCCGGGGCGCGGCCAACTAAGACGGCTCCCGAACTACCACCGCTCTTTGGAGAGCTTCCACCTACCCACTCTCCGTTGGACTAGCCTGACGCCTGCCCAGACTCCTATTCGCTGCAAGAACCCGCCAAGGCTTGGAGCTCCCCGGCGGCAGCCAGACCTGGGGCCGAGAAACTCCTGGTGTCTTTATGTTTGGCTTCTCCTCGTCCCGCCCCACGAAGCGTGACGCCCAGGCGGATATGACGTCACCGCGCAGCGTCTTCTTAAGGACCCAGGCGCGAATCCTGATCCGGAGCTGAGAGTGGCCGAGCTCAGCGCCCTCTGGTGTCCACTCCGGAAAAGCCGTATGTGCAGTTTGCTAAGGGTGCGGTTTATAAGGCGTATTTATTCCGCCTTGGACGGTGCTTCATAGTTATCCATTTCTTAATGCATTCATTCATTCAACAATTTTTTTTTTGTTTTTTTTGTTTTTTTTTGAGACAGTTTCACTCTGTCGCCCAGGCTGGAGTGCATTGGCGCAATCTGGCTCACTGCAACCTCCACCTCTAGGACTCAAGCGATTCTTCCACCTCAGCCTCCTGAGTAGCTGGGACTACAGGTATGCTCCACCATGCCTGGCTAATTTTTGTATTTTTAGTAGAGACGGGGTTTCACCACGTTGGCCAGGCTGGTCTCAAACTCCTGGCCTCAAGTGATCTGCCCACCTTGGCCTCCCAAAGTGCTGGATTACAGACGTGAGCAACTGCGCCCGAGTCATTCTACACAATTTTTTTTATTATATTATAATTTATTTATTTATTGAGATGGAGTCTTGCTCTGTCGCCAGGCTGGAGTGCAGTGGCGCGATCTCGGCTCACTGCAACCTCCGCCTCCCTTCAAGTGATTCTTCTGCCTCAGCCTCCCAAGTAGCTGGGACTACAGGCATACACCACCATGCCTAGCTAATTTTTGTATTTTTAGTAGAGACGAGGTTTCACTATGTTAGCCAGGATGGTCTTGATCTCTTGGACCTCGTGATCCGCCCACCTCGGCCTCCCAAAGTGTTGGGATTACAGGCGTGAGCCACCAAGCCTGGCCTAATTTTTATATTCTTAGTAGAGACGGGGTTTTGCCATGTTGGCCAAGCAGGTCTCAAACTCCTGACCTCAGGCAATCCACCCACCTTGCCTTGCAAAAGTGCTGGGATTACAGACGTGAGCCACCACGCCCAGCCTACAAATTTATATCTAGCATCTCCTCTCCTCAATATCTCCTATGTCAAGCACTCCCCAAAGATAGTACCCACTCTCAGTGTCCCTTGTGACTCCCAGCACATGGTATGTGTTCTACCTAGGCCGTCCTGAAAAGACCCACAAAGTAAGGACTTTGTGCTAGGCACTACGCAAAATATTTTACATATGTTGTCTCATGGAACCCTCACACAATCCTGAGATGGCTATTACTACGATCATCTCCATTTCAGAGGTAGAAACTGAGGCGCACGCCTGGCAGTGGCTCATGCCTGTAATTCCGGCACTTTGGGAGGCCGAGATGGGCAGATCACTTGAGGCCAGGAGTTCAAGACCAGCCTGGCCAACATGGTGAGACCCCCATCTCTACTAAAAATACAAAAATTAGCCGGGCACGGTGGTGCACACCTGTAATCCCAGTTACTCAGAAGGCTGAAGCAGGAAAATAGCTTGAACCTGGGAGGCAGAGGTTGCGGTAAGCCAAGATCACACCACTGCACTCCAGCCTGGCAACAGAAAAAGAAACTGAGGCACAGAGAGGCTAAGTTATTTGCTCAAGATCACAGTTAGCAGTGGCATGGGTTGTCTGATTCTAGCCAGTGCTCTACACACTGCACTGTATTACCACCAATTGAGGGGCTGCAGTGGGAAGGAAAGCTTTAGTGTAAGTCCCAAAAGGATGGAGCCTTGTCTGTGTTGCTCACCACTGCATCCCAGTTCCTGGTACCCAATGGTGACCCAACATCTATTTACTGAAGGCATTTGTTCATAAATGGATAGGCTGGTTTTGCTTGGGTTGGGGGGCAAAGGGTTGCCTTGCACAGGACAGTTGAGTCAGCGGGGATCTCCTTCCTCAATTCTTTTCTCAAAATCCCACTGTGTTGTTTCCAGCAGCTTCAGTCCTTGACCTTGGCCATGCTCTCCAGTTCTGTGGTTCCTACTTTCTTCTTCCTTCAGAGGAGACAGGGCTTGCTCCAGATGTGGGAAGAGGTGGAGAAAGCAAACACAGACCCCACAGAACCTGGCATTTTCTTTCTCAAAGCAGCTTGATTTCAGAAGCCGCCAGAACTTGCTTCAAATTCATCCTCTGCCACTTACCTACCTCCCTCATCTGTCACATGGAGAGATTATTAGCAGCTACCTCACAGAGTTGAGGGAAAAAGAGTTGATGGTATAAAGTGTCTGGCACCCCAGGAAACCCTCAGTAATATGAGAGGGTTCCTGTAAGCCAGCTGCCTGGCAAACGTATCCTGCCAGGCAGCCCAGGAAAACCAGAGCAGTTCCTGCATTTTGAACTTCAAGGAACAATAGATAATTATCACCCTGCTGCAACAAATGCTGAAAATGCAGTGTCTTCCCAGTTGCCTGAATTCTCTCATGCTGTCTTATTAATTCAGAGTGGAGGATAAAAGAGACACCTTTGAATGATAAAGACAAAAACCTTTTATTTTTTTTGTGTGGTGACTCAGGCCTGTAATCCAGCACTTTAGGAGGCCGAGGCAAGCGGAACACCTGAGGTCAGGAGTTCAAGACCAGCCTGGCCAACGTGGCGAAACCCTGTCTCTATTAAAAATACAAAAATTAGCTGGGTGTGGTGGTATGCACCCTACTCAGGAGGCTGAGGCAGAAGAATTGCTTGAGCCCAGGAGGCAGAGGTTGCAGTGAGCTGAGATCATGCCACTGCAATCCAGCTGAGATGATAGAGTGAGACTCTGTCTCAAAACAAAACAAAAAAAACCAAAAAAAACCTTTGTTTTTCAACTAAATTTTATATAAAAAAATTTTTTTTGGACAGTGTGTCACTGTCACCCAGACTGTAGTACAATAATGTGATCATGGGTCACTGCAGCCTCAACCTCCCAGGCTCAGCCAATCCTCCCACCTCAGCCTCCCAAGTAACTGGGACTACAAGTACATGCCACCATGCCCAGCTAATTTTTAATGTTTTTATAGAAACAGGGTCTCACCATGTCCTCAGGCTGGTCTTGATCTCCTAGACTCAAGCAATCCTTCTGTGTTGGCCTCCCCAAAATGCTGGGATTACAGGTGTGAGCCGCCTCGCCGTGACTAAATTTTATTTTTTGAATAGGTACTGTAGGCTTACAGCATACATTTCAAATGACATAAAGGGATAAATATTAAAAAGTGACTTCCACCTCTTCCCCTGTCAGCCTCTCCCCTCTCCAGGAGCAACCACTAGTATGAGTTTCTTAAGTGTCCCCTGAAAAATATGATAGGCTTTTCCCTCTTGACAACGTATCTAAAATTGCTCCAGATCAAAACACACAAGGCTGCCTCAGTCTTTTTTTCTTTTTTTTTGGAGATAGGGTCTCACTCTGTGAAACTGACCTTCTCAGTCTTAAAATTTGAGAAAGTTACATTTGTCTTATCTGAGTTCCTTTCTCAGTAAACCAACCATGAGTCATCCCAGATAGTA